CGTGGGGCATCCATCAAGTACTTAAAGTTTAACTATCCCAGCCAACATTAACATACGGGTACCGTACGGGGCCTATACGGGTCGTCAACTGGGTCCCGTATGGGAAGACCAACGGTGTCCCGCCGGATCATGACCGCGGTTTCAACTTTGGACCCATATGGGTTAGCCCGCTGGCTAATCCAGTGACCCTTCTTCGTTGCTCTCCATCTCACAAGTATAGTTTCATGATATTCTTGAAATTTAACGGTGATCCTGCATCGTTGAGGTATCAGCATAGAAGCCTAGTTGCCAATAAGTTAACGATTTGAGGAGGTCGGTTCTCCGACTGACCCTTCGTTGGCTGATGTGGCGACCCTCTCTCGATGTTTTTATCTTAACTTTCAAGATCCAGCTAAAACAATGAGCAGCCCAAACACATAAATATTTAACACCAGCTGCACAATCAAATAAACTAAAAGAATTTTTAAAAAAATTCAAAAGAAAAATGACGTAAAAAGTTAAAAATGAAACCTAAATTTAAAAATTTTTTTGTAAAAAAGCAACTTTATTATTAACACTAACGCAAGTAAAACTTAAAGTATAATTATTTTGTAAAATCCATATATGAAAAAATTTGTTAGCAAATATGCTTCGCGCAGTTTTAACCTTTACCGCCTAAAAAACATTTATGCTGCTAACTAATTTTCAAAAAATCTAAAAAACGTATGTATTGTTAATGTAAATTCGAAGTATTGGTTATTTAAAAACAAAGAATTATTTATTTATATTAATATCATTCTATTTTTATAAAAAAGAATGATGGAACAGACAGAATGGGGTTGATCGGCAATAACAATTGTCGCTGACAGGTTAACGATTTGAGGAGGTCGGATTTCTGACTGGCCCTTCGCTGGCTGATTCAGTGACCCTTCTTCGTTGCTCTCCATCTCACAAGTCTAGTTTCATGATATTCTTGAAATTTAACGGTGATCCTGCATCGTTGAGGTATCAGCATAGAAGCCTAGTTGCCAATAAGTTAACGATTTGAGGAGGTCGTTTCTCCGACTAAGCCTTCGTTGGCTGATGTGGCGACCCTCTCTCGATGTTTTTATCTTAACTTTCAAGATCCAGCTAAAACAATGAGCAGCCCAAACACATAAATATTTAACACCAGCTGCACAATCAAATAAACTAAAAGAATTTTTAAAAAAATTCAAAAGAAAAATGACGTAAAAAGTTAAAAATGAAACCTAAATTTAAAAATTTTTTTGTAAAAAAGCAACTTTATTATTAACACTAACGCAAGTAAAACTTAAAGTATAATTATTTTGTAAAATCCATATATGAAAAAATTTGTTAGCAAATATGCTTCGCGCAGTTTTAACCTTTACCGCCTAAAAAACATTTATGCTGCTAACTAATTTTCAAAAAATCTAAAAAACGTATGTATTGTTAATGTAAATTCGAAGTATTGGTTATTTAAAAACAAAGAATTATTTATTTATATTAATATCATTCTATTTTTATAAAAAAGAATGATGGAACAGACAGAATGGGGTTGATCGGCAATAACAATTGTCGCTGACAGGTTAACGATTTGAGGAGGTCGGATTTCTGACTGGCCCTTCGCTGGCTGATTCAGTGACCCTTCTTCGTTGCTCTCCATCTCACAAGTCTAGTTTCATGATATTCTTGAAATTTAACGGTGATCCTGCATCGTTGAGGTATCAGCATAGAAGCCTAGTTGCCAATAAGTTAACGATTTGAGGAGGTCGTTTCTCCGACTAAGCCTTCGTTGGCTGATGTGGCGACCCTCTCTCGATGTTTTTATCTTAACTTTCAAGATCCAGCTAAAACAATGAGCAGCCCAAACACATAAATATTTAACACCAGCTGCACTATCAAATAAACTAAAAGAATTTTTAAAAAAATTCAAAAGAAAAATGACGTAAAAAGTTAAAAATGAAACCTAAATTTAAAAATTTTTTTGTAAAAAAGCAACTTTATTATTAACACTAACGCAAGTAAAACTTAAAGTATAATTATTTTGTAAAATCCATATATGAAAAAATTTGTTAGCAAATATGCTTCGCGCAGTTTTAACCTTTACCGCCTAAAAAACATTTATGCTGCTAACTAATTTTCAAAAAATCTAAAAAGCGTATGTATTGTTAATGTAAATTCCAAGTATTAGTTATTTAAAAACAAAGAATTATTTATTTATATTAATATCGTTCTATTTTTATAAAAAAGAATGATGGAACAGACAGAGTGGGGTTGATCGGCAATAACAATTGTCGCTGAAAGGTTAACGATTTGAGGAGGTCGGACTACTGACTGGCCCTTCGCTAGCTGATTCAGTGACCCTTCTTCGTTGCCCTCCATCTCACAGGTCTAGTTTCTTGATATTCTTGAAATTTAACGGTGATCCTGCATCGTTGAGGTATAAGCAAAGAAGCCTAGTTGCCAATAAGTTAACGATTTGAGGAGGTCGGTTCTCCGACTGACCCTTCGTTGGCTGATGTGGCGACCCTTTCACGATGTTTTTATCTTAACTTTCAAGATCCAGCCAATACAATGAGCAGCCCAAACACGTAAATATTCAACACCAGCTACACTTCCAATTAAACTAAAAGATTTTTTAAAAAAATTTTAAAAGTTTTTTTATTGTTAATTTAAATTCCAAGTGTTGGTTGTTTATAAACAAAGAATTATTTATCTCAATTAAAATCATTCCATTTTTATAAAATAGACTGATGGAACAGACAAAGTGAGGTTAATTAGCAATAACACTTGTCGCTGATAGGTTAACGATTTGAGGAGTTCAGTTTTTTGACTGGCCCTTCGCTAGCTGATTTAGTGACCCCTCTTCGTTGCTCTCCATCTCACAAGTCTAGTTTCATGATATTCTTGAAATTTAACGGTGATCCTGCATCGTTGAGGTATCAGAAAAGAGGCCTGGCTGCCAATAAGTTAACGATTTGAGGAGGTCGGTTCTCCGACTGACCCTTCGTTGGCTGATGTGGCGGCCCTCTCTCGATGTTTTTATCTTAACTTTCAGGATCCAGCTAAAACAATGAGCAGCCCAAACACATAAATATTTAACACCAGCTGCGCATTCAAATAAACTAAAAGAATTTTTAAAAAATTTCAAATGAAAAATGGCGTAAAAAGTTAAAAAAAATACCTAACTTAAAAAATTTTTTGTAAAAAAGCAACTTTATTATTAACACTAACGCAAGTAAAACCTAAAGTATAATTATTTTGTTAAATCCATATATGAAAAAATTTGTTAGCAAATATGCTTCGCGCAGTTTTAACCTTTATCGCCTAAAAAACATTTATGCTGCTAACTAATTTTAAAAAAATCTAAAAAGCGTATGTATCGTTAATGTAAATTCCAAGTATTGATTATTTAAGAACATAGAATTACTTATTTATATTAATATCATTCTAGTTTTATAAAAAAGAATGATGGAACAGACAGAGTGGGGTTGATCGGCAATAACAATTGTCGCTGACAGGTTAACGATTTGAGGAGGTCGGATTTCTGACTGGCCTTTCGCTGGCTGATTCAGTGACCCTTCTTCGTTGCTCTCCATCTCACAAGTCTAGTTTCATGATATTCTTGAAATTTAACGGTGATCCTGCATCGTTGAGGTATCAGCATAGAAGCCTAGTTGCCAATTAGTTAACGATTTGAGGAGGTCGGTTCTCCGACTGACCCTTCGTTGGCTGATGTGGCGACCCTCTCTCGATGTTTTTATCTTAACTTTCAAGATCTAGCCAAAACAATGAGCAGCCCAAACACATAAATATTCAACACCAGCTACACTTCCAAATAAACTAAAAGATTTTTTTTAAAAAATTTTTTAAAAAGAATTTTAAAAGTTTTTTTAAAAAAAAATTTTAAAAGTGTTAATATCGTTAATTTAAATTCCAAGTATTGGTTGTTTAAAAACAAAGAATTATTTATTTTAATTAATAATATTCTATTTTTATAAAAAAGACTGATGAAAAAGACTGATGGAATAGACAGAGTAAGGCTGATCAGCGATGACACTTAGCACTGATAGGTTAACGATTTGAGGAGGATTGAGTTTTGATAATAAAATTTAAAAAAAGTGACTTCCGCGTCTTTAAACGATATATTAATTTGATTTTGGCGCCTATGTTTGGTTTATTTATTAGATTTTTGTATTATTTATTAGAATTTTAGACTTAAAAATACTTTTTCTTTACCTTTTACAATAACTACTACGCTGAGGATAGCCCATATAAATTCCTAATAGTCTAACCCGAGTGACTTAACCTAAGAAAAATGATTGCTCGCGTAACCTTTCTTTCATTATTTACCTTCCTTTTAAGAACCATCACGATTTAACATCAAAAAGGACATTAAGGAGAAGGGTTCGAAGACGAAAAAATATTCAAGAGAGAATTGCAGCTAAGCGGAACTTAGAGGCATCTATAGATAGTGAGGGAACATTAGAAAAGGAGCAGAAAGTGGTCGAAGAACCACCAGTAAAAATAAATAAAGAAGATACAGAAGAAGTGGAAAATACATTAAGGTTCTTGGCCGATAATTTAGACGTTTTCACGAACAATATAATTGTAAAGTAAGGTACATTTAAATGATAAATATATACTTAAAAACATTAGTAACATAATTCCGAATCACCACCTATTGTAATACCAATGATTTCTTACCCCTATAACCCTTATCCCAACCGGAACACGTGACTTTATCCAGAATCTACGTGTAACCCAAACCCTAATTATCAATAATTATCACAACAATTATCATAAATATATTAAACATCTAAATCCCCCTTAGAACAACTGCTCTAAATATACCCACTAAGACATTGAATTACAGAGACAGCCAATTTCAATACTTGTCTCTAAAATAAAACCGATGACAATAACAAAAAATAATTCCCGCGGAAAATGATAGAAAAACTCACCTTGAGAATTACCTAACTCTTTTCGCGGAGACTAAAGAAGCTCTGAAACGTAAATAGAACAATAGACCATTGAAAACTTACAACGATAGAACAATGGAATTTCTAAAAACAGAAGTTTTACATTTTTATGTGCACACGTTTCGTTCGTATCAGATATCTGCTAACAAGCGAAGAAAAAGCAACTTTGGCGTTCAGAAATATATTTTTTCACGTTTATTTAATAATAAAAAAATCCACATTAACGACAACACGAACAATGGCATCGAATAATTACATAAATATATACCCTACTACAACACCCAGCAACACGGTAAGAAAAACATTTCCTTTATCACATTTACATACTTAATAAGTCATACCATCACCACCCCACTTTAATTTAGCGTTTACTTGAACATCACACGCCACAACAATTCACCATTGAAAGCACCCCATACTATTCTTACACATTATGCATACTTAGAATTTATTATAGAGTCCAAACACACCGGAAGACATATTCCTTACACAAGACGTGTTCCGAAATCAAGAAGTTCTCGTGACCGTAGATAAATTAGAATTAGAAATACTAAGGCACAGTACCACCCTGGAACCCGAAGACAAAAAAGAAGGAGACACAACACAAAAAGACGAAGAACTAAGTGACAGCCAAATGCTAGAAACGGTAGGTTTAGTTCAAATCTTTACACCAAAAACATCTTAAAAACTATTAGTTATCCCCCTCATACCCAACCCCCTAGGGTCCGACTCCGTTATCTGAAAATTGTTGTGTTTGTGTACTTCATTTATGTATATCATTTGTGTATGTACTTCATTTATGTATATCATTTGTGCGTGTATTATGTATGTACTTCATTTATGTATATCATTTGTGCGTGTTTGCATGCATATATGCATGCATCTGTATATGCGGACATGTGGGGATGTATGTGTTTGCATGCATATATGCACACCCTACCCTGTTACCCTCTTAGTATGTATAGACCTCTGTTTTATACATGGTAGTGTTCATACAGATATATTTGTATGTGCATATACATGTGCACATACATTTATATTTGGATTCATACTCTTGCACCCAACCCCCTCTATTTCACTCTATTTCACTCCGTTACCTGATTTATCTGTTTTATGTATAGTTGTACTCACACAAGTATATGAGTACTTGCGTGTGCATGTGTTTGCGTGTTTATATGCGCATATGCGTGTGCATGTATGTGGACGTGTGTTTATGCATTAGGTGTGTATACATGTATATGTAGAATTGTGTTCTTATATGGGTGTTTGGGCTGGTTTAGGCATACTTCTATGCCTAAACCAGCTCTCCCGTACCCAACCCCCTAAGATTCTAAATCAACTCTCACAGTATTATATAATTGCGTGAGAACATATTATAATGATCTACACTATTCTGTATGATCTTATAATGCTCGATACGCACACCAGATGAAATGGGAGACTCCTCGGGTATGAGTTCATCACATATCTTAACCTCACGTGGTAACTAAGCTGTAGGCCATGGAGTTGTTTTAGTACTTTAACTTCTTCGAAACAAGCTTAGACATTCCGACATGGCCCTGACTAGATGAAGGTTTGTCACATGCCACAACTTTCGACCATTATGATGACCTCAACCCCGAACTCCACTCGCGCAGCATCTTCCCCTCAACTTGTTTTACTTTTATACTACAATAATTTGTACTACTAATTTACTACTAATTTATTACCTCCAACTTACGATGGTAATCACTAAAGCTTTATAGCATACATACTATGCATATCGGATATATTATACACGATATATATAATATTCTAGATATACATAAGTCTCTCTATAAATAATATAAGAAACTTATTGGTTTACCTAACAAGCATCATACTGCCCCGAACCAACACCAGTTTGAGCCAAACTGTGTTGCTATAATTGTACTGCACCCCGCACATAGTTCTTACAAAAATAGCAACAAACTCCACACTCTCATATGTTCTATCAACATATGTTAAAACATATCTTATAAAGTGCTTTTAACAAAGATTACGATCACAAAGAACATAATAATATCAAAATTAAATAAGACGGAAAATTAAAATATTTACGAAAATACAGATTCATACAAAGAAAGACATTAATTCACATATTAAACTTGAACATTTAGAACACCACAAACACAAAGCACAATAATTAACACAAACTTACAGAACACTGAAACAACACTTACTTTAACCTAACTTAAAGAACACTTACTTAACTCTAACTTAACTAGTGAATAATACTCCCCTCTTTAACACCACCTCTTAATACTGGACATCTGTCCAAATATTATAATTTATCTAGCACTCCCTTGCACTTATATAATATATTTCTTTCTTCTCTTAAGACTCTTACGGCCTGATGGTTCCATATCAGTGGTGGAACTTTAATAGCTTCCACTGCGAAACAATAGCAGGTCCCAGTCAAATCCCGTACTTTAAAACCGTAAGGAACCCATTTGGGTTTGCAAATGGGAAACCCATCTGGAACCTGCCGGATCATGGCCGCAGTTTTCTTCTGGGGCCCATATGGGTATGCCCGCCGGGTATCCCGTTGAGGGTCCCACGAGGTTTACCCATTGCAAATCTTGCAAAACTACGTTTAAATGTTTAAAATTTACAGAAAAAGCAAAATTATATATAAATTGATTGGTTTATTTCAAAAAAAATAGTAATTAAAATTACACTGTCGAAATTAGGCAAACTTTTAAACGATTCTTTAATCATGTATCGAATGCTTTAACGGTTATCTCGGAATTCGGAAGCTTTTCCATTGATGTTAAAACGACTTTTTTGAAAACCTCTTTACACAATATTTCGTTTCAATATGAACTGTAAAAAATTAAGTTTAACTGTTAGTTTTAAATTTTATTGGTAACACATACATTAATTTTTATATGTTATAAAACTCTTACGATTTCTCCCAACTCTCTTCAAATAAAAAAATGTAATTTCACCATCAAAGGTACTTGTAATAGATAAGCACATGCTTATGATTCATATAATAAATTGATAACATTCCTTTAGTTACTGATAAATAAATTATATAAAATTATTAAATAAATATATACTTTTATTTATATTGTATACAATTTGATATATATTGTATATACCTTATATACAGTGCCGTGGCTACTAGAGACAAGCCCCCCATTCCAAAAAAAAACTTGTCATAAGGGCCCCAAAATTCCTAAAAACTTTTCCAATAGATAATAAAAATCTAAATCAAAATCTTGAAAGAAAAAAAAAATTCTTACATTTGGGCCTCTAAATTTGCAAATGAGCCCCCTAGACAAACATTTTTTAATTGACCTGAAAAAGTTTTGTATTTGAAAGAGGGACATCTATCAAGTACCTAAAATTTAACTGTATTATTTCCTATATGTGCTAATGAATGGACATTGTATACTAATTGATCCTTACGATAAAGTTCACATATAAAAATAAGTAGCAAAATTACCATATTTTTTCAACAAAATAAAACATTATGAAAGTAGAACTACAACTGAAAAATCTAAAAAATTGAATAGATTTTTGGCTAAACCATTCCCTTTAAACAACTGGTCCAGTGTATACTATAAATAGTCTAAGCTCAGTTGTTTTCCATTTTTTAATATATAATTAAGACCTTGATTTTCTAGAAAAATTTTTTGGAATGTAATGACGTATCTGGAACAATCTGCCAGATAAAGTATTGACTGTAATCTGAGACAATTTACAACATTTGGGCAATTTAACCATAAGTTGAGAAATCTTCGCATTACACCTAAGCATACTAGATGCATTAAGTCTAAAGAAAACTTTGTCACCATGTCAAAATTTAATTCAATTTAACACACCACTAAGATGTTCAGAATGCTTTTAATGACAAAAAATCTGAATCAGTGCTTAAAATTAGTGAAATATGTAGGAGAATTAACTTGCCACACCACTCTCTTTTCTAAGCACAACATTCACATCAGTTATAACCATTGTGTCCTTTAATACACTTTATAAATGCTCTAGCTGGTGCATAACATATGATAACAGCAAGATTGATTTTAAACTCAATATTTTCATAGATAAAACCATCTTTAGCAAGAACTTTGAAATCTACCAAAAATTATGTAGACAATCAAGGTGACCTGCTATTCTCATTTACTTTTTTTACTCTTTTTTCACAAACCGTACTTTTTTCAAATCCTGTACTCTGAAAGTACTCATTTGTATAGTTTTGTACTCATTTCTATTTCTAAAACATTTTTTTAATATTATTTTATTACAACTTTATTAATTAAATATTTAAAATTATTTTGACAGTGATTTGAATTTCATGCGCACATATTGCTTGCCGTTTCCAGCATGTCAGAGGACAGGGCAAACACCAGATACAAGTTTGACAGTGATTTAAATTTTGAAAACACATATGGCTGCCATTTTCAACACAATTGAGAGGCCGTATTATGAACCTGGAGAGATAGATAAATACTACAGACCTCTTTTTCTAACAATGTCAAAATTACATTTGTGAAAAGAGATGGATCCAACACTTGCATATGTAATCCCCAGGCTGATCTTTGATGTGCAGTATGTTCGCCATGCTTGACAGTCTTGACGCATGCGTAGTATGTACAGCAAAGTTTTTTATCCATTTATTTAATTAAATAAAAGGATAACAAAAACCTTGCTGTACATACTACGCATACGCTTATGGTTAATTAACCATAAAATCAAAAATTACAAACTTAATTATAATTTACAAATTTATGTTTGGTGTCACTCATATTAAAAAATAATCAATGGAGCGACACCTTAATAAAATAAACAAATAAAATTAAAAAATATTAAAACAAAAATATAATAATATAATACATTAATATAAGTAATAAAAAAAAGAAGTATAAGGAACAAAAATATCAAAAAAGTTGGAATTAGCACAAAAATATAAAGGAGTAACGCTAAGAAAAATAAAAAATAAAAGAGAAAATGAACGGATGAGATAAGATGAGTGAGAAAATATGTAAGAGAAAACAAAAACCTAATCACATAAGTTCAGAAGGATAAAGTGACAGAAAAATTTTTTTGCAGAAAAATATAAAAAAACAAATTAAAGGCAAATTTAAATAAAAAAATATATACAACACTACTATATACAATATTAAAGGCTATATAAAAGCCTACAAACTGACCGCTTTGGAAGATTCCAATCCCGGAATAAAAAATAAATTTTTAAAAGAAGTTAAAAATTTTTATAAAATTTGCTATGAATATATCGAAGAATGGATAATGAACTTTAGAGCATTGAATTGTTTTAAATGGACCCTTATAAATAGTAAAATTTAATGGAAAAAAGTTTCTTCAGCAGTCGAATTTGTAATAAAGGAAGTAAAAGATATTGTTATTAATGACAATTTTCTTTTTGAAGAAATTAGAAGAGTAAATTTATTTTTAAATGAAGAAAAATTGAAAAATATGGAACAATAAGAAAATAGAACTTGAAAAAAGATGGGTAGAAATCTTTCGGCATTTTAGAGTAGAACATATCCCACATGAAAATTTAAAAGTTTTAACAGAAATTTCTTTATGTTGTCCAGACACTAATGCTGCTGTTGAAAAAATATTTTCACTAAGAAATGATTATTGGAGCAGTGAGAAGTTGCAACTTTCTGTAAAAACATTATATGCTGTCCTAACAGTCAAATTTAATATGGAATTTAATATGTTCGGATGCAGCTACATTATTAGACGAACATCCTCATTTAGCAAAAAAAAATCCACTCTGACGAAAAATATGTTTTAAAAAAAAAATAAAGTTTTTTATCGTTTTACCTTCCTTTTTTTTTACTTATGAAATACTTGCAAAGTGTACCCTTTTTGAACAAAAGATAGTTGTTCCCCTTAAAATAATTAAAAATGGAATTAGATTTTTGGGCACCACTCTTTAAACAAATTTCTAAAAACATAATTTGGGTCCCCTAATATTGTAAGTCCTAGGCCTAGGCTCTGACGGCAACATTTATAAATAGCAACAACTTTTGGCAAATTTTATTTAAAATTTACATGTATGTTTAAATTTTGTCACTATTTTAGATATTCATTGAATAAATTCCTATATAAAAATATTTTTTATATAAAATATTTATGGAGTATTATTCTCTTTTAATATCAGCTATCAAGATGATTAAACTGACTTGATCAGCTTCAGCATTAATCTGATGCTAATGAGTTTATAGCTGAAGTTGAAATATCAGCTGTAACCCCTACTTTATAGACAACATAGTTAATGTGATGTATATACATTAAAATAATAAATGTATTTTTTTTAATACTCAAATACTTATTTTTTTATTTTATGATACATTTAAAAAAATTTTTTTAAAGACATTTTTTTAATAATATTTAATACTTAGGAAATACTGACTTTTGCCAAATATTCTTTAGATAAAAATAATATTTACTTACATTACTCTAATCGAGGTTATAAACAAGGATAATATTTACTCAAGTTATTATATTTGTCCCCCAAAGTTAATGTAGCTCTATTATACATAAGTCTCTCACTAATTCTAATAATAAAAAGTTATTACCATTATTACTATAATTATATTTACTAACCTGTTATTATTAATATTTATCAAAAACACATTCTGGTTGTTGAAGTCACTTTTACTCATATCAATATGCAAATATTGTCAACAGTTAGAGTGCACCATGCAGAAATATTCTTTATCATGCTGCAAAAAATGATTTTAATTTAAATTGTAATTATTATGTAAACATGCATTGTTTTTTTAAACATTTCAAAATCATACTTATTTCATTTTTTTTTTTATTTTAAAATTTAAGTTTGAATGATTTTAAAATTTAACATTCAGCTAAAATCTTAGATTTAGTTGGATTTTAATATTTAATCTATTAACATTTTATGCACCTGTTAATCATTAATTACCCTCTGCAGTAATGCTAGGAGGTTTTATAACATAACTGCAAGGTAAACAGAGTTAAAACTTGTAATGAAACATTTTATAAAACTGTCTTGACTATTAACTAAGTTCTGTGTGACACAACTTAGAGGTTCCTTCTAGAAATGTTAGAATTTTATTTATGGTTAAATACTTCTTGTTATCATAAAAATCATTATTACTTTTTTCCATAATTGATTTACCGTCAATTAAATAAATTTAATTAAATGTTATGTAATAACCTAGTAAGGTTTTCAACACAAAAAAAGCTCCATAGGTATTCAGGTATATAAAGAATATCTTTCCTTTGAAAAGCAAGTTTTTCAATATAAACAACAAATCAAGAAAAGTAGCAGTTAATAAAACTAAATTTAATATTTTTATATATATATATATATATATATATATATATATATATATATATATATATATATATATATATATATATATATATATATATATATATATATTTATTTATTTATTTATTTATGCT